TACATGTATTTATGTATTTTTCTATCAAATTTGTTAATTTTGAAATTAATGGAAATAATTGCCTACAGGTCATTGCAATATTATTGAAAACAAATATGGACAAAATTATGCAGGTGAAAGATGGCAGTTGAGTTGAGTTTTGTGTTGAATAATTAACACAATGTGCGAACAGTGAGAATGCTATGCTGACCACATGTATGAAATCAAGGTACTTACTGTTTCACAGGCACCTTTTCTTCTATTGGTGAAGTAATAATGAGTTTGGAGTACCTTGAAATAAAATAAAATTACATTTTTCAGCCGACAGAACTAGACAAAATTAGTGTCCCATATACAAACTCATTGCACTATATAATCATGCACTTGTTTATAAACTTTTCACCACCAGACGTTCTCGCACAAATTTTTCTGCACCTTTTTTCTCATATTTTTAAATATTTCTGGAAATGAACCCTAATACACAAACAATTTGGCTATTTTTTTCCCAATCTTCTGAAGGAAAGTGCAGTCTATAAACAAGGCTATTTTGTGAATTTGTGATGAAAAGTCGGAAATGGTGGTATATATGTTATATATAATTAGAAAGCTGGAAATTTCAGAATATCAAGAATGTGATTACTTAAAAAAATGTTTTTATTTAAACTTACTTCTTCTTTAAAATCTCTATTAATATGGTAAGAATGGGATGGGCTTGTTTGTATTGGTCTAATTCAACAAATGGAAATTAGCTATTCAGAAGAAATTCCATAAATGTATTTATTTTTTTTCAATTTTTCAAAGGAGAGACATCAGAAAAGAACTTCGAGTTGAGTGCGAAAAATAAATTTCAATTGGCCAAACATAGGGGTCCTGAAAATATTTTAAATTAAACATCTTGTTGAGTGCCACTTCTTGTTCAGTGAACTTAATTAATTATTTTGGAATTCTGAATATTTGTGATACAACAAAAATATTCTGTTGCAGTTTTGGCTCATCTTTTTTTCATCAAACAACAGTCGCTGTACATAATCCTCTATTCAGACTACATGTGCAAAAATGATTATGCAATAAAATACATTAATTATTCAATTTGTTTTAATTTTGCTATTTTCACTGATAAGCAAAAGTCGCTAAATTAAATTTATGTGAATGTGTAAAGTAACAATAAAACACATTGTTTCCTTGGCCAATTCATGAATTTAAAACCTTAGTGAATATGTTCAAAATATCAAAATGGTTGCGAACAAATGATTTTACAGTCTTTTATGACACGAGATCTCATATACGTTGAAGCTTATTTATTGGCAAAAAAGGGGGGCTCGACCAAAACCACAGAGCTGTTTGCTAATACAATATTAACCTATGGTCCTGGTGCGGCCCCCATAATGCGACTGCAAAGATATAGAAAAATACACGGCTGATAGAAAAATACACGACTGATTAGAAATAAATTCAAAACAACAGAGTTAGTACAAAGAACGTATAAAAGTTATAGCACTGTGCTGCTGTGAAGTTAGTAATGAGATGACAGAGGCAGCGTGACTGCGACTGTTTGAAACATCCAGAGCGATGTGGTTGTTTATTGCGATGTTGATACCGCGTGAAGTTATTTAATTGATTATACATAGTTTCAGCTTGGCAACTACCCAGTAATGATGACAAGGTTACTGAAAAGTTATTAATATACATACTTTTGAAAGAAAAATTATGTCTGGAGATATCTTGGGGGTATATGAGCATATAGCAATAGTGAAGTACCCGTAATGGAACTAATGAAATTGTGGAATGACACCCAAGAGACAGTCTTTAAAGAGAATTATTTTTTATACATGTAGAAGTCTATTATTCCATTCATTGTACATAATACCGGCTATTCCATCTTATCGCTGGCTTACTCTGACATGTTTTAGGTTTGTGTTAGTTTGTAGCATTTAAATGTCTAGAAATGATACTTATTCTTGCTTGATTTTATTCATTCTTGTTTTATATGTATTGTCGAATTACTGTCTTTCTTAATTGATTTACTTGATTAAGCATTGTAATGTTAGTTAAAAGTTATATGCATTTCAACATGTTTTACTAGTGTGTTTACCTCAACTTAACATTGAACTCTATGGCAAAAAAACACACTTCCTGTTAATGTATGCCATTTCTAATTGATGATTACGTTATTGGTCAGTTAAGGGGATTGTCTTTCAGCCAATCATTGTCTTAGTACAGGATTAGGAAAGTTTATCTTTTGGATTACTGACCATGCCTTAAATAAGCCCCTTTTAGCACCTTGTGTTAGGACTGGACCCAAGTAAGTGTCAGTATACTATGCTTATTGCTGTTCCTGTAACTCTGTTCTTAGCTAGTTGTAAACTCTATGTAGTACTGTTCCAGTAATAAAGATATCCTGCTGTGAGTATCCCAAATGGTTAATTTGTACCCAGTTAC